TCCTGGAAGTCCACAGGCACCTACGTCGACGAGGTTCCCCCTCCTGGGGCGAACATCGTCGATGGTATGTGGATTTTCAGGGTGAAGCGGCCGCCAGGTTCTCCGCCTGTCTTCAAGGCTCGTTACGTTGCTAGAGGCTTCAGTCAGCGTCAGGGGGTCGACTTCTTCCAGACCTTCTCCCCCACCCCGAAGATGACCACTCTTCGGGTTCTGCTGCACGTTGCTGCTCAGCGTGACTACGAGCTTCACTCCCTTGACTTCAGCACAGCGTTCCTGCAGGGCAGCCTGCACGAGGAGATCTGGCTGCGCCGCCCACCTGGCTTTACTGGGTCGTTTCCCCCTGGTACCCAGTGGAGTCTCCGCCGGCCAGTCTACGGTCTCCGCCAGGCGCCACGTGAGTGGCACGACACACTGAGGACTACTCTTGCGGCTCTTGGGTTCGCGCCGTCTACTGCTGACCCGTCGCTGTTTCTGCGCACAGACACGTCGCTGCCGCCGTTCTACATCCTCGTGTACGTCGACGACTTGGTCTTTGCTACTGCTGACACTGAGGCACTCGCTCGTGTGAAGTCGGAGCTGCAGAAGAGACACACCTGCACTGACCTGGGTGAACTGCGTAGCTACCTTGGCTTGCAGATCACCCGGGACAGAGCTTGCCGCACCATCACCCTGACTCAGTCACACATGGTGCAGCAGGTCCTTCAGCGCTTCGGCTTCCAGTTCTCCTCACCACAGGCCACACCTCTGGCTACCAGCCACTCGCTCTCAGCTCCACCTTCGGACGAGTCCGTAGAGCCGAGTGGCCCGTACCCAGAGCTTGTAGGCTGCCTCATGTACCTGATGACTTGCACGCGACCTGACCTCGCGTACCCTCTTAGCATCCTTGCTCGTTACGTTGCGCCTGGGAGACACAGGCGAGAGCACTAGGAGGCTGCTAAGAGGGTGCTGCGTTACCTGTGCAGTACATCAGGCATGGGGCTGGTGCTTGGAGGACGCGACAGAGTTGTCCTCACTGGTCACTCGGACGCCTCTTGGGTGGATGACCTGGCTACGCAGCGGTCGTCACAGGGTTACACCTTCAGCCTTGGCTCAGGTTCTGTCTCGTGGCGGTCCACCCGCTCTTCCTCTGTTCTCGGCTCTAGTTGTGAGGCTGAGATCTACGCCACAGCCATGGCTGCACAGGAGTTACGCTGGCTCACCTACCTGCTGACTGACTTGGGAGAGCGGCCTAGTTCTCCTCCAGTTCTGTACGGTGACAACAAGGCGGCTCTTGCCTTGTGTCAGGAGCACAGACTGGAGCACAGGACGAAGCACATTGCTCTTCGCTACTTTCTTGCTCGAGAGCTTCAGCAGCGCGGTCAGCTTCGGCTTGTGTACGTGGACTCGAAGGCCAACACTGCTGATATCTTCACCAAGGCGCTCCCGCCTAGTGATCATCAGCGGCACTGTACTTCTTTAGGCCTTGTGTCCACGTTTCCTCACTTGCTCACTGCTTGACATTCTTTGTACTGTACTTTATATATATCTTGTTGCTTGCTTGCTAGGTTTTGATCACTGTGTTGCTTGTCTTGTACTATATCTAGCACTGCATGTGAACTGGCCTTGTGGCCTTTACTTGTGCTCGGAGTGTGGTGACGTTGTGATCCACCCTGGGCTTTGCTTTGCTTTGCTGGACTGGTCTTGTGACCCTTTGTTCTCCCCCACTTTGCCTATGGGGGTGTGTTAAACTGTATTATGCTTGTAGGCTGTAGTGGGGTAGCCAATATGGGGTACAACCCCAACTAGGGTTTCATATTTGTACCCAAACTTCTGCTAGTTCATTCATTCTTGCCTAGTTCTTCTGACACGTGGCACGCTTTTCGTCGTTGCGCGACATTTCTCGAATCCTCACTCCAACGACCCACGAGCAGTTGGTACGTTTTTAGCTTGGTGGTGATTAGCACAACGCGATCGATGGCGCAGTTTGCGCCATTCTGCTCTGAACATCGCAGGCATTCGTTTTTTGTTTTTTCGTCTTCCTTGTTTCTGTTTTCGTCGCTGTTGCGATAACTGCGTCGTTAGCATGTCGCACAGTCTGAGCCATCTCATGCCCACAGGCCCAGCAGCAACTAAAGCGACCAGCCCGCAAGCTCGAGAATAGTTTCATCGCAGCTTATTCGTTCGCCTCTCGTCCCTTGTATATTCATCTCGCCGCGTGCTTCCGCTCGTCAATCAATCCAAGTCGTTTCCATTATCGAGTATTCATTCCACCTAACACAGCCAAGTGACACGCGCGGAGGGTCTCGGGTATGATCGATTCTGAAGGGATGATTCGAACGCCTTCCCTCACTCCGTGTGTTGCGCGCATGCGGCATGGCTGACGGAGCGGTACATGGGGTGGGCAATGAGGGTCATCGATCGCGATGGGCGATGAGCAGCTGGCGGCATGGAACAGCTCTAAGGCTGTTAGTAGTTCATCCCAAAGTAGTAAAGGCGAACCTGCATACTATGTACTATAAACGTGCTTTGTACTTTCTAAGTAGCTACTCCACTCGTGAGGGGTATGAACGCACATGTGCTAATACATACGAACTACTACTCACCGCAGCGTGCAGTAGGTACAAACTAGCAACCTTGCTGGTACTCCGCGGGGGTTGGGAGTCCCTAGACTGTAATTGCTGTGTCGCGACACTATCCATCGAAGTGCGCTGGATGTGCGGTACGGAGATTCTCAGTAGTAACAACCTTGGAACAGTGCGGATAAATACCACATACATTGTACCAACTACTCCCAACATTACAGGGTAACAAATGTTTACATCGTGTAACAAAGACGTACGCTGCATTCAATACAAAATGTATTTTACAACTACTTGTTTAGGCAGAGATTATTATTCATTAAAAGAGAAAACGGGTCCACTTAAAAAACGCAAAACATACAGTGGCATCACACATAAGCACGGCCACTATCACACACGGTTTTGCGGGGCTTGCACACTGCAAGCCCGATGGCAACCAGCAGCAGCACAATGGCCCCCCCTGCTGCAATCCCAATGATTGCTGGCATGGGAAGGCTGAAACTCGAGGAGTCGCTGCTGCTGCCGCCGCTGCTACCGGAATTGGCAGCGGCATTAGCAGAGTTTGTATCGGTGGTGGTGGTGGTGTAGGCATTGCAGTTGCTTCCAGAGCAGGTTTTCACGCCTGATTTGGGGTGGTTTGAGACAAACGAAAGGGAAACAGGACTTTTTTTTGTTTGCTGTGGCGTTGGTGTTAGCAGAGTTGTTGGTGGTGGTGCTGATGTTGATGGTGGTGCTGCAGCTGTGGTTGTTGCCAAAGCAGGTTAGCACGCATGACGCGAGGGTGGTTTGGGCACTGGGAGAGAACGACATAGTTAAGAGGAAAACAGACGGATTGATAGGTTTCGGAATTAAGGGTACATTCCTGTGTGGACATTTGTGTCTCAATGCCCCTTTTCCCGAGTCGCGTCTGTAAATTTACAATTTCACGCGTCACAAACAGCTGATGTATCACGACATTGTGCGACAGAAAACTGGGTACATGTGGCCGAATTTGACTGGCTCACACCAATGGGCCTGAGGATCGGAAGTTTGGCGCCGGGCACGCCTGTAAACAAATTCGGAAAAGGCAACACATCAAGCCCCTGGTGCTACGCAGAAAGACACAACAGCACGTACAAATCTACAACGTACAATCGCATGTACCCATTTCCTAGCTATCACATCCCCTGCACACTGCATCCCTTGCCAGGGGTGCAGTCATGGCTGAGCCGCGAGCTGTGCCATTTCTCATGCGGCTCCTGGTGGCCTGGATCACATTCTACTACACCATCTTCATGGATGTAGTAGGGCGTGCTATCGGTGGGATGCTTGAAGGCGATGTCTTCGACAGCGAAGACTCAACGGCCGAGAGCTCACACGCCTCCAACAAGACGGCCGAGCGTACGAGGAGGGCACGCCTGCGTCGGCAGAGATACATACTACTGGGCGAAGACCTGCAGGGCATGGGAGACACAGAGTTTAGGGATCTATTCAGGATCAACCGTGCCATTCTAGCATACATTGTGGCCGGAATGTCATACAATATGCTGCCCTATGTCGAGCGCCACTTCATCACGCACGACATAGCCAACTTGGTCGCAATAAAGTACCTGGCAAGTGGTATGGCGTACGTCGACCTCGCGCACTTCTTTGGACTATCGAAGACCCTGTGCCACACCCACGTCGACGTGTGGCTGATGCATTTCCCGAGCGTCTTCAAGCCGCAATGGGTGCACTTCCCAACTTCAGAGGATCTTGCCGAGATGGTTGAGGAGTTTCGAGCCGTCAAGGGAGTACCTGCGGTGGTGGGGGCTATAGATGGGACACACATCCACATCAAAGGGATGGAAGGGCACAGGCAGGAGTACTATACGAGGAAGTCGGCATACGCCGTCCAACTGCAGCTCATATGCGATGCGTGTCGAATCATTTGGGATTATTTGATTGGGTACCCGGGAAGTGCACACGACCAACGGGTGTTCATGAACAGTGCATTACAAGAGAGGTTGCACAACGGCGACATAGCGCCTTTTTAAATCATGGGAGATGCAGCCTACCCACTCAGAGATTTCTGCCTGACCCCCCTACATGCACCCCATGAGGGCCTAATGGAAGACTGGGCGCAGTGCTTCAACTACTGCCAAAGCGCAACGCGCATGGCAGTAGAGCGCTGCATCGGTGCCTTCAAGGGCAGATGGCGTCTATTCGCGGGACGCAACGACTGACAGCTTTGGCGCGTGCTGGTGGGTGCGTCTTGCTGCGTGATCCTGCACAACATGTGCGAAACAATGGGACAGGTGAGGCGCGTCAACGAGGTTTGGGCCACACTGCCACGGAACCGAGACCCATGGTGGACAAGAGGCGCGGTGGCCGAATTCAAGTGGGAGCCATGTGTCCCACTCACACAAGCAACACTCAAGGAGAGGCGCAAGCGACTAGGGGAGGCGTTGGAGTCGTCTTACCTTACTCGGCGTCGCCGCGAACCCACACTTCCTCAGCCTCATCCGGGTTAGCCTGAGTGTCGCCCGTCTGCCCGCGACGGAACCATCCGTCGTCGCCGCCATCGGTGGCGGCCGGGGTCGTCTGGGAGGGAGCGTCCGCGGCCACGCCGTTGCGAGCAGGCGGAGCGGGCGCAGACTGCTGGAGGCGTTCGCGTGCAATTCGCTCGTCCTGCTGCATCCAGACGCGGACAAGTCCTTCGAGCTTGCACATCGCGTCATCGTGGCAGCCCTTGATCGTCTCACAGATGAGCTTCGCGGCCGCCATGGTGGCCGTCTCCGATGCGCGCGGGCGCTTGGAAGGCGGGGTGCATTGCGGAGGAGGGGCTGAACACCCAAGGAATGACAGGGGTGGTTGGTTAGGCAGCATGTGTGTACGACATGGTATGCAATGTCTGATGTACTATTGCGGACATTAAACCAAGCAACTCAATTTTGCACAAGAGCTACAGAAGCAATGTCACTGCTCACAACAGGATATGAGGCCAAAAAAACCACGGTTCACGCACCCGTGAAGGTCGGTGTAGACGTGGTAGGCGCCGACGTAGAAGGCACCGTAAAGCCGCACGGCGCGTTGACGTTCGTCGCGCCGCCAGCTGCCACGGCATGTGGGTTGGCGACAGCCCTATTGTTCAGGTACAGCTCCATGTACGGGAACCACGGGGGCTTGCAAACGGTGCCCTTGCCCGACGCCTTTTCTGCCTTCTTGAGCTGCTTGTAGAACTGGACGAGGTTGCGCCACTGTTTCTGGACAGCGTTGACGCCACGAACCCACCCCGGGTTCTCCTTCTCCATGTGATGAACAAGGCGCGCCCAATACTGGGAGCCCTGCTTCCCGAGCAGGGACTCGATTTCGTCCTTTATGAACCAGCGGGCCGCGACAGAGATGGTGCTCTCCAGCGGGGACCAGACGCTGCGCTTCACAGGCATCTGGTTGCGGGTCTTTGGACCGCGGCGTGGAGGTTCGCCACCCTTAGAGGCGGTGGTAATATGGGCTGCGGGCTTAGCACTGCCGGCACGCGTGGTCGGAGCTGCGGGCTGAGTTTATTCCGGTGCCTCAGCATCATCCTCGGACTCGTCGCCCTCGCCGTCGTCCTCTGAGTCGGACATTCCCTTGTCCGGCTCCTCCCCTGAGTCCGCCTCGTTGTCGGTGCCGACGGCGTACTCGTTGTAGTTGCTGTCGTCATCGTCGTCGTTGTTCGGCGCGTTGTTGTCGACGACGTGCGAGGACGCAACCATGTCTGAGTCACGACGCCCGCGCGTGGGCACGTCACGCGGCGCTTCGAACGAGGTGGCTCCAGGAGACGGTAATCCTTCAGGCAGCGGGCCGCCGGGCTTGCGCCCCGCCGCAATCTGCTTGTTGATCCATGTGATGTACGGGATCTCATTGAGGTCCCGCGGGACGTCGGTAGCAGCGTCAGCTGTTGTCTTGCGCTTCCTAGCCATGGCTGCTAGAGAGAGAAATTCAGGAGATACGGGAGGGAATAGGTGAGAGTAGATCTGGACAGGAGACGGAAAAGAGATTGATGTGGGTGAGCTCTTGGACGGGCGTGGAAGCCGGGGTTCGGTTGGCGGGCAGGATGGCGTTGCCTGCTGTCGTGGAAACCACTCGATTCGATACACGGGCAGGGCGGGTGTTTTTCCCGCCCGAAATTGTCACGTCCTCGCGCGTCCAGATGCATGCGGTGAAGTTCGACATTTCGACATGCGTGCGATGTTCTATGTGTGACGGGGCCTCGTACAACTCGTCCGCGATATTATCGCATTTCACGCTGTCCAATTATAAATACGGTAAAAGTCGCACTAGTGCGGTCCGCGTTTCTGACATTGTACATTATATGCTGTTTTTGGGTGTCACAAACCGTTTGAGACACAAATGTCCACACAGGAATGTACCCTAAGAGAAAGAGGAAGTAAAGTGGAACGCGAGGAAATTAAGTGGAACGCTACATTGCCAAATCGTACGCGACGGAAGGAGCTGGAACGGAAATAGACACACCCCACCTTACACACTGCATCATCGTACCCCTTGGCCCAAAGCCAGCGCTTGACTGCTCGCCTCATATTGCCATAACTGCCGCTCCGGCTGCTGGCGGCGGTATTGCTGCTGCCGCTGCCGCTGCTGCTGCTGCTGCTGCTGCTGGCGCTGACCGCCTTTGAGGAAGAGGCTTCCATGTTGGCGGTTTTCAGGGCGGCATGATGTCAGCGAACAGCTGGCACTCGTCCGCAAAGGTGCAGGCGCTGACGCACTAGGGGAAGGGCGCAAAGCGGAAAGGGCGGAGAGAAAAGGGGATGGGGGCGGATGAGTTGAGCATTTCACGATTGATAGGGGGAAAATCGGCAGCTACATCAAATCACGCTCACTGGCCATCCCCATCCCCATTTCGACTTCCCCTATTCTCCCTGTCCCCTTTACCCCTCACCTCAATGAGGCTCGAGACGTCCCCATTCCGCGACGCCCGCCGCTCTCCCCCATCCGCGGAGCTTGCGCGACCTGCTCCGCGGAGCTTGAACGAAGCCGCGTCGTCCACGTTATAGCCACCCTCGCTGCCGTGAATCGCGTCGAGCAGGCGGTGGTCGAGAGTGTGGCTCTCCGCCGAGACGGTCTCCATAAAACCGGAAACCATATCTGCGAAACACACGGTTTACCGATTGTGCTCGCTGTCGAAAGTGCGGAAGATAACGAGCGGGGGAGGGGGAGCAGCGGGAAAGGGGAGAGAGGCGCACGGGGGACGTGAAGAACAGGAAAGTCAGCGAGGTAAGAGAAAAACTAGGAGATCATGACAGGCGGAGGGAAAGGAGGGGGAAGGAGAGCGAGCGTGGTGAGGGCTTTGTTTCCGGACGATAAGAGTGGCGACGGCGATGGTCCTGGGTGTGCTGGGGACGACGGAAACAGTGATGACGCGGACAGCAGCAGCAGCAGCAGCAGCAGCAGCAGAAGTAGCAGCGACAGCAGCATCAATAGCAGTAGCAGCAGCGCGAACAGTGGCAGCGAAGGCAGTTCCTCGACCCGACCGCAGTCGCCACATTCAACGCACTGAAACTCGCATTGAAGCTTGTTCGCCACTCGCTCGCCCCCCTGCTGCCCTGCCTCGCCACTCATCTGCCTCCTCACCCACCTTCTAGTCCTTTTGTGCACATTCGAGCGATATCGGCTCGTCCTCTGACCATCATCCCTTGTTCCGCCTCGGCTCCGCTCGCCTGCGTAACCGTCGCCGTGTCCTGGCGATTCACCAGTTTCGCTCTATGCCGTAACCACGCTTCACAAACGAGATGAGCGTAGGCTGCAGATGCCCTGCAGTAGCCGTCGTAGGTAGAGGGGGAGGGTAGTACTTGTGTTCTAAACTGCAAAACTTGACAACCAACAGAAAAGTGAATTGAACGACTTCGCCTTCAACCTAAATACAGCCGACAGAGAGTTTGCTCTGAGGGTTTCGAAATGGTTGGGAGTTGGAGCTCTGAAACTGAGCTAGATCCGAAACAATCCAAGCAGCCAATCATGTGCAAGTGAGGTTTGCAAAGGAAATTGATCGTAACCATCCACCGAAATGTTTTGATCGGACGGTCGTGCATAGTGTTTGGTTTGGTTTGCTTTGTTTGGTTTGGCTTGGTCAAAGGTTTGGTTTGGTTTGGTTTGGTTTGGTTTCAACAAGGGAAATGATCATATAGGGGCCGAACAGTGCCAGAGGGGTGATCACCCAGGGGCCGAGAGGCCCGGAACTAACCAAACCGCTGTGCGAGGAGGGATAAACAAAGGGTCATTGTTTATTGCACTTATTTCCGTTACTAGTTGCTTGCATCGGCTCGCATTTTCACTCGCGTGTTATTTAGCGAGCCAAATTTACGGGGAACTTTTAGGGCAACCAAAAAACTAAAACCACTAGCGAACCTAGACGCATGTTTGGGACGGATTAACCCTAAAAACGGGAACCTTCCTGGAGTTTAGGGTTGATGCCTCCCGAGTCGCCTCAGTTTTCGAATGGGTTGTATTTTTTTTCCTGCGTGTTTCGTTAGGTAGGTGATATCTATTACCCAGAATGCAATAAGTTCTTTTGTACTCACAATTCAACACGCCGAAATTGACTTCCAGAAGAATGCGACACGCGCGCTGTAGTAGACAGAGAGAAAAACTCTTAATTGGAAAATGAACACAAACTTTGGTTCTTCTAGGAATTCTCTTTTAATTACGGTTCGGCTTGTTCGCCGAATCGTTTGGGCAGCTCTGGGTGAAAATCCTACGGTCGAGATTTAACAGCCCTACTTTGGACATCCCTCTGGCACTATTCGGCCCCAGTATGATCTTTTCCCTTTCAACTTTGCCGATCTAACCCAAATGGGAGCCTGTGGGTGTGGATGAGCAATCCGAACTGCCCACGTATACAGCAGTTGTGCAGAGGAGGGGGAGTCCCCAGACAGTGTGGAGTGTGATCACGATACATTGTAGGGACTCCGTTTGATAGGTTGGAGATCCCGCGTACTGGGTGTCAAGTTGGAGACTGGAGGGAGTAGCGAGTCAGTAGCGAGTGTAGCCACAGTGCATCTCGAAATACATAGTACTCACTCCCACTGTCCAAACCACCCCCCCCCAAAAAACAAATTTGGGATGTTATGAATGCTAACCTTAAAAGTCTAAATCAAGAAGGTAAAATTGGTAGCATGAATTCTGTAAATTTCAGAAAGCAAGAATGGCATACAAGGGATGAGCAACAACTCTTATACACACTCCTGTGACTACGGCGCCTTGAGAAGCTCGTTCAGGCCGCCATATCACCTTTCTCTGCTGTCTCCAGCTAGGAGCAGAATATGTACAAGCAATGATCACATCTCTATGCTGGATCCTAGCTGTTCATATAGAGAAATGCAAAGTACAATCATGAGATAGTTCTAGAATAGTACTTGCTGACTCATTCTTCATCTTCATGATGATTGCACCTGAGTCTTGTTATGCTGGAACGTAGTTGTAGTTACAGAGCGCGACTTATTGCCTTTCTGTCATGAAGATGCTCTCTTCTTTCTTCTCTGCTGCTTTGCTGGCTGGGAATTCACGTGTGCTTTGAGAAATCCCGAAGCGCACATTTCAGGTTGAGATTTCCAACCTCGAATTTGACATTTCAGGTTGGGATTTTGGCGAGGGTTACAAGTTCGCCAGCTTGCGCACTTTCCTGTGGCGAGTTCGCCTTCGCCTTGAAACATTACCCCCCCTCCAAGGGGCACCGTCCTCGGTGCACAAGCAGATGCAAGGTAGGCAGAGATGGCTCGTTGTGCATGCTGTAGGTCCTTCTCTGGAATCCAGAGATTTTCTGCATCATCATGCTTACGCCACTTAAACAGGAAATATCTGCCACTAGGTGTTGTTTCATGAGCAAGAATCTTCTCAACTTCGAACAAATCAGGGCTTGGAGTGAACATGGGAGGGCGAGATGGCTGAGAAGTGGAGAGGAAGCGAGCTGGAGGATCATGATATGGACGTAGCAGCTGGACATGGAAGATTGGATGGATTTTGATGTGAGGAGGAAGTTTCAGACGGTATGTGAGTGGAGAGAAGACCTGTGTGATTGTGAAGGGACCAATGAAGCGAAGTGCGAGCTTGCGGGTGACGCCTTGAGTGAGTAGGGGCAGATTTGTGGTTGAGAGAAGTACTCTGTCTCCTACGTGAAAGCGGATGTCACGTCGGTGCTGGTGGTGCTGTCGTTGCTGAAGTATCACGTTTGGGGCTGTGAACCAGTGAGGTAGGAGTGCGAGGGTTCTGTCCAGTAGCTAGGTAGAACGGGGTCTGTCCAGTAGCAAGGTTAACCGTGCTGTTGTAGGAGAACTCAATTTCTGGCAGGTGGGTATCCCAATCGTTCTGGCGAGCGTTGACACATGCACGCAAGCCATCTTCCAGCGTTCGATTCATTCTCTTGGTATGCCCATCAGACTGGGGGTGGTAGGCAGTTGAGAGGCGAATCTTGGTACCCATCCTGTTGAAAAGGGCCTGCCAGAATCGGCCAACGAAACGGGAGTCACGGTCGGAGATAAGGACAGAGGGAATACCGTGAAGACGTACTATTTCAGTGAAGAAGCGTTCAGCAACGTCCTGGGCAGTGGCAGTGGTGAAAGTGGGAATGAAATGGGCCATCTTTGTGAGTTTATCAACCACAGTGAGAATGGCGTTGTGATTGGCAGAAGTGAGAGGTAAATCAGTGATGAAATCAAGGGTGACATGGCTCCATGGTGTCTCTGGAATTTCCACGGGATGTAGGAGGCCATAGGGAGGGGAATTGCGAGCTTTGTTGCACTGACAGGTATGGCAGCTGCGCACGTAGGAGCGAACATCACGGTAGATGTTAGGCCAGAAAAAGTTTGATGTGATTGCAGCCACGGTTTTGTCCACTCCAAAGTGTGAATTCTGGTCGTGATGCTCGCGTAAGAGAAGGAGACGGAGTTTACGGTCAGAAGGGACGCAAATAGCGTGAGAATCTGCTTTGTACCAGAAGGGAGGGTCAAAATAGTATGCTTTATTGGAAGGGGCAGAACGGAGGTAAAAATTATCATGGCGGTATCCCTTGGTAAAATTCTTAGTGAAGTCTGGGTCCCATGTCACGCTGCCGATCACAGCAAGCTGAGAGGTTGGGGGACAAGAGAGTACATCGGCAGGGTTTGTACGGCCAGCACGATACTCAATTTTCAGCTCAGGAACGTCTGTTCAAGAAATTCCATCCATCTTGCCTGCCGTGGTGTGAGATGAGGTTGCGTCTTCAAGTGCTGCAGAGTGCAATGGTCCGTCAAGACCGTTACCGGCTGCATGTGAACGTAGCAGCGCCACTTCTTGATAGCATTGACAATGGCCAGCGCTTCTCGGTCATGCGTAGCGTAGTTGCACTCGGCTGGTTTCAGCTTCCGTGAGTCAAAGGCCATGGGCTGAAGGCCATGTCCGTGGTCTTGACACAAGATTGCACCTGTAGCAACTTGAGATGCATCTGTCCAGATGACGTAGGGGAGGGAAGGGTTGGGTAGGACTAGGGTGAGAGAGGAGGTAAGAGCATGTTTGATGGTAGTGAAAGCTTCTTCCTGTTCGGGTCCCCAATGAAAAGGCTGCTGCTTACGAAGAAGGTTAGAGAGGGGTGAGGTAATGGCAGCAAAATGATTGATGAATTTTCGGTAGTAATTGGCCAGGCCAAGGAAGGCTTGAAGGTCCTTGATGCAGGTAGGCTGCTTCCAGTTTTCAACAACCTGAATCTTGGTGGGGTCCATAGCAAGCTGATTATGAGAGATGATATGACCCAGGAAAGGGATGGAGGATTTTGCGAACTCACACTTGCTCTCTTTTGCAAAAAGCCGACGTTCGCGAAGCTTCATGAGTACCTGGCGTAGGTGCTCAGAGTGTTCTCTCAATGACTTGCTGAAAATCAGAATGTCGTCAATGAAAACGATGACAAACCGATCTAGAAAGTCACGAAAGATGTTGTACATCAAGCACATGAAAGTGGCAGGGGCATTTGTGAGTCCAAAGGGAAGTACAAGGAATTCAAAATGCCCATACCAGGTTCTGAATGATGTTTTCTCGATGTCTTCTTCAGCAACGCGAACCTGATGGATACCGCTTCGAAGGTCAAGTTTGCTGAAAAATTTGGCCTCGCTGAGTTGCTCAAAGAGTTCCTCCACTCGCGGCAGCGGGTATCGGTTCTTGATGGTGAGTTTGTTGAGGGTGCGGTAATCTATACACATGCGAAGAGAACCATCCTTCTTTTTCACGAAAAGAATGGGGGTTGCGTAGGGGGAAGAGCTGACACGAATGAATCCTTTTTCAAGGAGTTCCTCCAGTTGAGCTTGGACTTCCTTCAATTCAGCAGCGCTCATGCGGTAAGTGGCACGAACAGGAGGTTCGGATCCAGGTTGTAACACGATTCGGTGATCCACTGAGCGCTTGGGAGGAAGTCTTGCTGGGAGATTTGAAGGAAACACATCTTGAAAATGAGAGAGGACTTTTTGAATCTCTGTAGGAGGATTAGGATTAAGAGAAGAAGGGGTAGACGAGGTTTTTGAGGTTTGTTGCAGCAAGCAAATGAAGAAATGAGCCTGAGGGTCTTTAGAAAGCTTCTTTAGCTGTCTCACAGAAATCACACTACAGCTGGGTGAGGAAGAGGAGGAAGGGATGGTAGGAAGATTGATTTCAGCTCCACTGTGCACGATGGTTACTGTTCCAGCAGTCCAATCAATCCGTGGGTTCTTGGATGATAGCCAGTCACGTCCGAGGATTAGATGATGCTCTCCCAAAGGTACTTGCTGGAACTGGAGCTTATCTTTGTATGAGCCCATGGTGCAGCTGATTGGGAAAGGAGTTGGGCCACACGTGATAGAAGCTCCATTTGCCATCTGCACTGTTGGGAATGGGAATCTTTCTGGACAGAAGAGATAATTCAGAAACGAGGTTTGATGAGATGAAGTTTGAAGAAGCTCCGCTGTCAACCAAAGCTTTGAAGGTACGGTTTCGTATGCCTATGGATAGGAGAAGGGGATTGGATGGGATGGTGTTTTCAAGAGAGATGATGGAAGCTCTCTGCAGGTTGCCAGAAAGTCGCCCCAAGCTTACTGGCGGTGACTGTTTCATCATCCCTCCCTGCTCCTCCTTCTCTTTCCCCCACCCCTCGTTCTCCCTCCCTGCCCCTCATTCTCGGTGTTTGCGCCTCATCATCCCTCCCTGCTCCTCCTTCTCTTTCCCCCACCCCTCGTTCTCCCTCCCTGCCCCTCATTCTCGGTGTTTGCGCCTCATCATCCCTCCCTGCTCCTCATTCTCTTTCCCCCACCCCTCGTTCTCCCTCCCTGCCCCTCATTCTCCGTGTTTGCGCCTCATCATCCCTCCCTGCTCCTCATTCTCTTTCCCCCACCCCTCGTTCTCCCTCCTTGCCCCTTATTCTCGGTGTTTGCGCCTCATCATCCCTCCCTGCTCCTCATTCTCTTTCCCCCACCCCTCACTCTCCCTCTCTGCCCCTCATCCCCCCTTCTGTGCCCTTGACACCCAGGCCATGAAGTCTCTCTTAAAAGATTGCCGCAATGCTCAAGGACTCGTTACAAGAGCCCATCGGAAGCTTGTGAATGGCGTGCGTGTGTACGATGCACCCGAGACGGCAGATTTCTGGAACAACGTCCAGGTACGTTGCATGTCGTTGGATGGGGCATGGCCATATGTAATGCAATCGCTTGCTTAACAATTCTTTTGTACTGCTCCTTACCTTCTACAACTCACCTTCTTTCCACCCAGGACAAGCTCGGACCGGATGATGTTGTTGCGACCATCATACTCGCCTCTGATGAAACGATGATGGATTCGAGAGGGAAGTCCAAGGGGCATCCCATATACATGTCGTTGGCCAACATCGCACGCGAGGACCGACGGAAACCCCACGGTCATGCGATGATTGCGCTGCTGCCGGAATTTCCTCCGGAGTACACCTCGCTTGACCGGCTGCAAGTGTTCCATAAGGTTCTTATCAAGGCGCCCCTCAAAGTTGCAAGTCATGTGTAAGTCACTGCAACTCTTATTAGTTCAAGTTGACTGGTTTTCTTAGCTGAACCATATTTGTGTGTACATGCATTTTTTAAGCGTATTGACTAACCTTTTCCTTTTCGTGCGCACGTGCCCCATACAGGGGCACTCGTGTGGAAGACGCATCGGGCCATTCATTCACCGCATACCTGGCTCTGTATGCTTACATCGCAGACTACCCAGAGACATGTAAGTTGACTTGTACCAAATCTCTGGGTACAACTTACCCTTGCTCACTCTGCACCGTCCACAAGGATGACCTGGCCGAATATCAGACACACCTAAAATGGTGCACCGTCCAGCAGCAACAAGACATTTGCGCAGCTCTTAAGGCAGGGAGACGACGCGGGGAGGCTGCAGTAGAAGACCTGTCTACCCATCCAGTCGAGGTCAGTAGTCGTAGATGGCCGAGGTTGCTTAATTATGCGTTACTCTTTTCCAACTCTCACTGTTCGTGCACTTGTGTTCGCTTGTATATGCAGAGCACTTTGGGGGTGGAGGTTCGAGTTGGAACAATGGGGAAACCCACACCTAGCAGTCATGCCGCACCTCATGCACCAGGCGGACTTGGGGATTCTCGATCATATCCTCACTACCTTGAGAGGCATCATCCCCGACACAGTCCGTTCCGAGATCGATAGGTATGAATGAAAATAATTTGTTTTACATCCCTTATTATCCCTCATTCGATACGAACGCTGATCATTTCCCCACTCCTTCTTACCCGACCCATGTTCTCAGGCAACTCAAATACCTCGAAGAAACGTATAGGTGGGATTCATTGCGCCTGCCATCCGGGCAATACTTCCGGCTAGGTGCTTCCTACCAGGCATATGAGCATCGCTCGGTGATGCAACTGCTGCCATTTCTCGTATCATCACACATCGCGCAGTCGCAACTGGATGCTATCATTTCATACCTTAGTTGGTATTCGGAGTGCGCAAAGGCAACAACATACGACGACAATTCGCTCCATCGGTTAAAGGAAGTAGCGGAGAGGTAAGAACACTTCTACGTTTTCCTTACATGTTGTCATCCTCGGATCCTTAACAAACGACTTTGCTCTTCCCCTTTGTAGGATGATTGATCAACTAACAACCGCGTTCAAGCAAACTTCCGACTGGAAGTTCATCAAGATGCACCTGAAAAGTCATTAAGTCGAGGCCATCCGTCGTGCGGGCCCACCCATACATTACGATGCCAACATTTCTGAGTTCTTCCACAAGGACCACACAAAGCGACCTTATCGTGTGTCAAACAAACGGGACGTTTCAGGGCAACTTCTCCGTGCAGAGGAGACAAGACTTGCTGTGGATTCTCTTGGCATCTCTGCAGTGACAGAGGCACAGTACAACACGGTGATGCGCGAGGTGAGTCTATATTTGTATGCAATTTGAAACTCTTCAATCAATTGCGCTCTCAATACTAAGTAGCATACTCCCATTCAACGTACAAGCAATCGCATCACGTCGCGATCGGCATGGCCTTTGACAGTGTTTAGTGGTCGCCGCGAGGGACCATTTGTAAGTTTCCCCATTCCCTCGAAGGTGCGTGACGAGAGATATGTCGCCGCCTTGAGTGAAGACCTCCCATACCTGAGACAAGCCCTAAACCGTTTTTCAGAGGCTACGAAGAATGCGACTACCATATATGTGCATCAAGAATTGGCCATGCCTCCTGCTACCGACCCATCATTTAGAGCCGTGCCTCATCGCATACGTGCCGTGCCTGTGTTTCTTGGACGGGGCTGGTTCTCCGACGTCACCATTCATGGATCCGAAGAGTGGTACGCGAAAGTTCTACTTCTGTTTCATGTTGGGCACGGGAGGGAATGGAGCGAATACGCTTTCATCAAGTACTAGGACGTACTCCCTGACAGCGACGAGAAGACGCATTGCAAGCAACTAAAGTGGGCTACGATGTCACAAAGATACCGAGTCGTAGATACCAGCAGCATTCTTCGTGCAGTGCACCTGGTTCAGCCAGAGGCTGGTGAAGCTAGGTGGTTGTTAAATCAATTCATTTTTTGAAACCTATGCTTTGTTATGTACATATTTGCAAACCGATATTGTGTATATATATCATTGTTCCATTCATAACATGTTAGACATGTACAGAGAGTTTGTATTACACAACATGACAAGACATGAGGAAGTCACAGAGTGTGTAGGCCAGTTCTCACCTGTTTAAGTTCCATGTTGCCTCTGCCTATTATGTGCGTAACTGAATTATGAGAAACAAGAACACAAAACACTACGAACATCACTTTATCAACATTCATCTCTGCACATTGACGTGCGTACGCATCGCCCTCCCTTGACGGTATGGAAGGCATCGATGGGGTGTGCCCAAAGAAGGTGCCACGTGGCGGGAGTTCAGACACTGTGTGGCTATTTAATCACAATCTGATTGCACGTCGATCTAGAAATGAAGCTGTAGAACGTTCTGAGATGCGTGGCACCCAGTGATCGTCTCCCCTGCACAGAGATTCCAGTCGTGTGATTCGCGGTATGTTTGCGACTCGCACGAATCTGCGAAGCGACGCGTAATCGCATGTTTGTCTCAACAGCTCGCGCGAATCTGCGAAGCCAATGAAATCGTTTCCTCAGGTGGTTTGAATCGTCATAAATTACAGCTTGTGCGACGAATCGTCGCACAGAGTTTCCGAACCAACCCACATTCTTCCTCGCAAACTCATCATGGCCAACCAGCTCGCTGCCAGCGGTGCCCTATCCCAGGCACGCGCCAACCAAGGAACTTGCTCTGGTCGCCCTCAACGCGAACGTACAACTTCGGTTCTGCTGAAGGGTCACGACACTACTGGTTACAAGCCCCCAGCGACGCAGGAGCTTACGAGTGAGCGCGTGGGAAGAGGCCTAAGCAACTAGGTTAGTGAGCTCTGCCAGGTTTTTGTGCTAGTGCAAATGAACATTGTGCTAAACCTTTTCGTCCACGCATCCCACTAACCTGGTGTATTGTATTATTTTTGGATGCAGCTCGACCGATTCCGGTTAATGAGCAGGTGGCACAGAACCGTGACATGGAGCGTACGATCGCGCATCAGGCCGAAACACTCGCGGCCCTCCGTGAGCAGCTGGAAGAGCAGACGCAAGAGGCTGCACGAATGCGAGCAGTCGTTGCTGCTCGCCAGCCGCCTGCCCCAGCAACGAGAGGTGACCCCGGCCCATCATCTTCCAACAGCCAGACTACCGGAGCTGGTGCTGGTTTGCTGCACGCAACAGCGCAGCGCAGCAGCCCGTTGGCGACCAGCAACACGCCTGGGCCATCGACGGCACCAGGAGGGTGCGGCAATCCCCCCTTGTGGTCCTGGACCTATCGTTCTTCAAGGTTAGTGTGCTTTGTATCTGAATCCTTGGTTAAAGTTTTATTCCGGTTGTGTTTGACTCTCTTGTTGACTATGTGACTTGCCGTGTTTATTCAAACAACTGACTATATTATTCGTTGTCGTTGTGATGTGCAGCAAAAATGCAACGATGCGGTCAACTATTTCATAGCGGAAGCTCCAGCGAGGGAGCAGTCATTTTACCCCTCCCAGGCACAGCTTAGGCGCAAAGTGCAGGAGCTTTACGCGGACATTGGAGTGCCTCTTGACATGTTCAACCGGGTGATGGTGGAGAATCCCGAGCGGGAGCGCATCCCGTTGCAGAAGAAGTCGGAGCGCCGTTGTAACATCTATGCGGTGGCCAAGCCCTATGCGCATGGCCCTGGTGGATTGATTAGCTAGAACAAAGTGGCGATGCTCGCGAGTGAGAACATTGCACCATCGCGTTGCTGCACGCCTTCAGAGTGGCACGCCTACTTTCGGGATGGTGAGTTTTTCTAGTAGCGTGTATTAGCAACAACGTTTCACCCCGTACAGTCTATAAATCCTGTTCTTGTTAATCCTGGCGTATATGGTTCGAATTGGCACTTTGACGGATCTGGCCGCCCTTTTGCCAACCGCTCTTTCGAGCTTGCCATCTGCAAGGGACTTGGCAGCAAGCGATGCAACCAGTTCAACGCCAAGATCCCTTCTGTCGCAACTATTTGCCATGTGATAAGTTTCTGTCTCTTTCCCGTATGTTTTGTTTTTTTTTTTTTTTTTTTTTTTTTTTTTTTTTTTCGTGATCTCCTGGATCAAGGCACGACTCGAAGCAGGTGAATCCGTTTACACTTATGAAGCTCCTGCAGGATTTGCTATGGGCAGTGGAGCTGTGAAAATCCTCATTGAAGGATTTGAGTTTGCATTTGATGGACTTGTGTTGGGTGATAGAGCTAGCTCTGTACGATTGGTAGAGTTCTGACCCTAGGTATGCCATTGAGGGAATGTAACTGTTTTTTTTAGAAATATAACTATTAATTTTAGCAATGTTTACTGGCTGGGTGGTGAATGAATAGGTATGTGAATAAATCCTGGCTCTTTAAATAAGGGCAGTCAACCTGATTATGACAGTATGGTTTGGGGCCATGGAATACCATTTATGGCATAAGTGAATAATGGCATGACAATTTATACTAATTTGTACAAGTCCAAAAAGCAGGCTTTTGTTGCATGTCTATAAAAGTCTATAAATGGTGGGCCAGTTACTAGGCATTCGCAAACCATATACAGCCATGAATAGGCAGTGTGGTGGACCTGATTATTGGCGTAAACAGCCATTCCGCTCAATACACAGGCGGGGAATATACGGACCCTAAATGCCTACGAAGCTGCCTGTGTACAGCCAGCCAGTTTCGGGCCATTAACCAGCCATACAGAGGGCGATTATGGCTATAAATTGCCATTCTTAAGGTCGACATTTTTTAGATGAAGCTACTGGGGGTGAAATGAAGCGCAGAAACGGGAGCGACAGGGGCAGAGGGAATCCTAGGGCTGCAGGGGATGGCAGAGCTGCACCGGCTTCTGCGAATCCGTCCCTCGCCCTCACTGTGTCTCCCTCCTATTTTCCCTCACAGGACAGCTGGTGCAACAGCACTGGTGCAGGTCTGCCAGAAGTAAGCAGCGTGAGCGGCAGCGGTGGTGGTGGTAGGGGTGCAGAGCAGGGCGGGGGGCAGCAGCAGCAGCAGCATGGCAGAGCTGCAGCAGTGGACCACCTCCGAGGGGAGGGCAGGCGCGGGGGGAAGGGGGCATCAAGCAACAAGCTGTGGCTGTGCAACGAGCTTCATGGGGAGAGCTTCATGCTTCAAGCAACAAAGGAGGCGCCATAATGAGGAAAACACTTGCCTACTTGCTCTGATTCATGTTGAGGCGCTTCAAACAGGGAACGCTGGTGCACCCTGCCTTGTCTGACATGGCAGTGTGTGTCACAATATTATGTTTGTCTAGTCTGCAGTGGGGTACTCAATAGTGAGTATAACCCTTTTAGGGCTTGCCATTTGTACCCTCCCTACTTGCTAGTGCACTCTCCTTCCCTGTACTCTCGACATGGTATTAGAGCCTTTCCGCTCCTGGCCTATGGGCCCACATGCTTCCGCTGCTGTCCTGTCTGTCGCGCGCCCCGTGGCGCGCGACGTTTTTTCTTCCCGCCACGCGCTCTGGGCCCGTGGCGGTTTTCTGCCCGCCACGCGCTCGGGGCGCGTGGCGGTTTCCTGCCCCGTCGTGGCGCCCAAGGGGACCCGCGCGTCGCCCCCCCCCCCCCCCCCCCCCCCCCCCCCGTCGCCCGTCGTGGCGCACCCAGGGACCCGCGCGCCCCCCCCGTCGTTCGTCGCGATGCCTGCGGGGACCCGCGCGTCGCCCCCCGTCGCCCGTCGTGGCGCCCCCAGGGACCCGCGTGTCAAACTATATGCATGCTATATTTGTGTAGGCTGTAATGGGGTAGCCAATATGGGGTACAACCCCTTTAGGGTTAGATACTTGTACCCAACTCTCATTCAATGCATTCATTCCTGCTTCTAGATTCTAACATGGTTTCAGAGCAGTAGGTCCGTAGGACCGTTTTTTTTTCGGGCCCACCCTTCGCTTGTGACCGTCTGCGGTTACCGTGCAGCCCCACGCCCTGTTCTGCGTCGCGCCGCCCGCGCACGCCCTGCCCTGCCTTGCCTTGCCGTGAGCGGCCCTAGAGCCCGTGCGCGGCCCCTGCCCCTGCTGTGCGCCGCCCCAGAGCCCGCGCACCGTCCCTGCCTGCCCGTCGCGCCGCCCCAGAGCCCACGCGCCCCTCCTGCCTGCCCGTCGCGCCGCCCTAGAGCCCGCGCGCTGCCCCTGCCTTCCCGTCGCGCCGCCCCAGAGCCCGCGCGCCGCCCCTGCCTGCCCGTCGCGCCGCCCCAGAGCCTGCGCGCGGCCCCTGCCCTTGCCGTGCGCCGCCCCAGAGCCCGCGCGCCCCTCTTGCCTGCCCGTCGCGCCGCCCTAGAGCCCGCGCGCTGCCCCTGCCTGCCCGTCGCGCCGCCCCAGGGCCTGCACGCGGCCCCTGCCCTTGCCGTGCGCCGCCCCAGAGCCCGCGCGCCACCCCTGCCTGCCCGCCAGGTCGCTGTCGTGGCCCCGCCCTACCGTTGTCGCGGCCCCACCCTGCAGCACCCGACGCGGCCCCGCCACGCCGCCGACGCGGCCCCGCCAGGTCTCGGTCGCGGCCCCGCCCTGCCGCCGACGCGGCCCCGCCTGGCCCCGCCCTGCCGCCGACACGGCCCCGCCCTGCAGCAGCTGTCGTGGCCCTGCCCTGCCGCTGTCGTGGCCCCAGCCCTGCAGCTGACGCGGCCCTACTCTGCAGCCGCTTTTGCGGCCCCGCCGTCGCCGCCGTAGTTCGCCTACCCTGCCGCTGCCAGCCGAGCGCCGGCCCTGCTCGCTCGGCGAGCGCCTGCCCTTCTCGCTGCTGGTGAGCACCTGCCCTACCGCGCTTCCCGCGTGCCTGCCTTGCTAGCGCGCTGCCTCGCCATCTGCCTGCCTGCCTGCTTGCTTGCCTGTCTGCCTGCCTGCCTGCCTGCCTGCCTGTCTGCCTGCCTGCCTGCCGTGCCTGCCCTGCCCGCGCTGCTACTGCTGCTACTGCTGCTGCTTCTGTTACCGTTGCTAGAGTGCTGCTACTGCTGCTACTACTGCTACTGCTGCTACTGGCGGTGGCCAGATGCAGCTCCAGCGACGTCCGCGCGAGTCTCTCACGCCCCAGCAGCTTAGTGAGTGGTACGCTAGTTGGGGTTGTGGCGGTAGCCGTCGTGGCTGTCGCCTTGGAGCTGGTCAGTCGGGAGCGTCTGGCTGTGGCCAGCTGCAGCTGCAGCGGCGTCCGCGTGAGACACTTACGCCCCAGCAGCTTCATGAGTGGTACGCTCAGAGTAGAGGGTCTCGGAGTACCGTTCGCTGCCCGTACGTCATTCGCACAGGTGCTCGGGCTGGTCAGGCTTGCGGGACACTTGGTCACACACAGTCCCGCTGTTTCGCCCGTCTGAGCGACGCCTGGCGTACCGAGTTTGGCGACGCGGCTGAGCTCCCCACCTGGCTAGAGCTGCTTAGGCAGAGGGTAGATATCTTTGCTCTTGACTATGATGCTATCCTCACTGCCATGTATGCGTTGCCTACTAGTGCTGACGGTGCCTGTTACCTGTGCGTACCGCCTGACCCAGGTATAGAGCCTGCTGCTCTAGGTGGTGGTGTGTGAGGCTGCTGCTCTAGGTGCTAGTGCGTCTCCTGCTCTAGGTGCTGGTGAGGCTGCTGCTCCAGGTACTGGTGAGTCTGCTCTCTCTGGTACTGCGCCTGCTGAGGCCTTGTACACCTTCACACTTGACTCAGGTGCTTCCCGCTCCTTCTTTCGCGACAGCACCACCCTCACGCCGCTCAGTCGGCCGGTTGCAGTCTCCCTGGCAGACCCCTCTGGGGGTCCAGTCCTTGCGCACTCCTCCACGGTCCTGCCGTGTCCGGCGGTCCCGTCTGGCTCCCTGTCAGGTCTTCACCTCCCCTCGTTCTCTACGAACTTGGTGAGTGGTGCTGACCTCCAGGACCAGTGGGTTGACCAGTTCACTCCTGGAGGTCAGCGCGTGACCCACTGTACGTGCTCCCGGACGGGCCGGCACCTGGCCACGTTTACCCGTGCGCCTGGCTCGAGTCTGTACACACTGACTACTGTGTCCCCTCAGGTCGCTGCGCCTGCATCTGCGTCTGCTTCACGTCAGCTAGCGCCCCCCTGCTCGTGTCGCGCTTTGTCGCACCAGACCCTCCTTTGGCACCACCGTCTTGGTCACCCCTCGGTGCAGCGCCTTCGTAGCATGCACCGCCGGGTCCTAGTCTCTGGTCTTCTTAGGGTTCTCCCTCCCCTCCCACCCTCGCCTGCTCCTCCCTGTCTTCCTTGTGTCGAGGGGCGGCAGCGCGCCGCTCCTCACTCCTCCTCGTTTCCCCCGACGACTGCTCCCCTGCAGACGCTCCACATAGACGTGTGGGGCCCAGCCCGCGTCACTGGACAGGGCCGCGAGCGGTACTTTCTGCTGGTTGTCGACGACTACTCGCGTTACACCACGGTCTTCCCCTTGCGCACCAAGGGTGAGGTCCCTGATGTTTTGATCCCTTGGATCCGCGCTGCCCGTCTCCAGCTCCGCGAGCGCTTGGGGACGGAGTTTCCCGTCCTGCGTCTGCACTCTGACAGAGGTGGGGAGTTTTCCTCCGACCTTCTGCAGAGCTTTTGTCGTGGGGAGGGCATTCGCCAGACGTTCACGCTTCCGGCCTCTCCGCAGCAGAATGGGGTTGCTGAGCGCCGCATTGGCTTGGTCATGGAGGTCGCTCGTACCTCCATGGTCCATGCGGCTGCCCCCCATTTTCTGTGGCCGTTTGCGGTCCGCTACGCCGCCAATCAGCTCAACCTCTGGCCCCGTGTCTCCTTGCCGGAGACCTCGCCCACACTGCGGTGGACGAGGGGGGTTGGCGATGCGTCGGTGTTCCGGGTCTGGGGTTCTCGTGCCTTTGTCCGCGATACCACCGCGGACAAGCTCTCCGCCCGCGCTGTTCCCTGTGTCTTCCTTGGCTTTGTCCCTGACGCGCCTGGTTGGCAGTTTTACCACCCCACCTCGCGCCGTGTCTTCCCCTCTCAGGACGTCACGTTCGACGAGTCGGTCCCCTTTTACCGTCTCTTCCCCTACCGCACTGCCCCTCTCCCCCCCCCACCGCTCTTCCTCGCTCCAGGTGCTCCCCAGGTAGACCCCCTCCCCGCTCCCGGTCCTGCTCCTTCAGGTGTGTCTTAGGTAGACCCTCCTCCCTTGACTGCGCCGGTTGAGGTCACTGGTGACTCAGGTCCTGCTGGGGGTGGTGCTACTCGGGGTGCTGCGTCTGGGGGTGTTGAGCCTGGGGGTGCGGAGCCTGGGGGTGCTGAGCCTAGGGCTGTGTACGGAGTCTGGGGGTGCTGAGCCTGGGGGTACTGCGTCTGGAGGTGCTGCACCTGGGGGCGGTGGGGCGTCTGGTGAGCTGTCTCCCTGGAGCGACCGTCTCCGTAGCCGCTCCGCTGGTGCCTCGCCGCTGCCCTCTCGTCGTCGTCTCCCTCTCTCCCCACAGCAGCTGCGTGAGTGGTACGTTAGCCGTCAGGGTCGAGCTGCTGGAGCTGGGGGCCCTGCTGCGGGAGGCGCTGGTGTTGGAGGCACTGGAGCCGGCGCTGTCCCTGGGGGTGCGGAGCCTGGGGGTGCAGAGCCTGAGCGTGAGGAGCCTGGGAGTGCTGAGTCTGGGGGTGCTGAGCCTGTGCGTGAGGAGCCTGGGGGTGCTGAGTCTGGGGGTGCGGCGCCTGAGGGTACTGAGACTGCTGGTGCGCGGTCTCCTTGGAGTGGCCGCCTTCGTCCACGTGTGCCTCTCACCTCACAGCAGCTGCACGACTGGTACGGTCGCCGTCAGGTTCGCGCTGCTGGAGCTCGGGGCTCTACCGCTGGAGGTGCTTCTGCTGACGCCACTGGAGCTAGGAGTGGTGCTGGTACTTTGTCTACTGGAGGTGCTGTGTCTGGGGGTGCTGCTGCTGGAGACACTGAGGCTGGAGACCCTGGGGCTGGAGGTGCCGGTTCTGGGGGCGCTACTGTTGGAGACACTGCGGCTGGAGACCCTGGGACTGGAGGTGCCGGTTCTGGGGGTGCTGCTACTGGTGGAGCTGGTCCTGGAGGAGCTGGTGCTGGAGGTACTGGAGCTGCTGGAGGCGCTGGAGCTGCTGGTACTGGTGGCACGGCGCAGCCGAGACTGTTCTTCGCTCCGCCGTCTCCGTCGTCTCAGCCACCGCCTGACTCTGTGCTTCGCCAGGTTCTTAGCCTCCCGTCTTCTACTGGTC